CGTCATTTTGTTATAGTATTACATTGGATGTTCAAGGTCCATTATATGAGGGAGAACATGTGATATTCTGATCTTTGTTTCTGTGTGAGGTCACTCAGTATTATAGACTCTAGTTCCATCCAGGTTGCTGCAAAATTCATGATTTTGTTCTTTTTTATGGCTGCGTAGTATTCCATCGTGTATATGTACCACATTTTTTTAATCCAGTCCTCTTTTGATGGGCAGCATGGTTGTTTCCAGGTTCTTGCTATTGTGAACAATGCTGCGATAAACATACGTGTGCAGGTATCTTTTTTATAGAGTGATTTGTGTTCTTCAGGGTATATTCCCAGTAGGGGGATTGCAGGGTCATATGGAAGGTCAATTTTTAGAGCTTTTAGGAATCGCCACACTGCTTTCCACAGAGGTTGCACTAGCTTACACCCCCACCAGCAGTGTAGAAGTGTTCCCTTTTCACCACACCCTCTCCAGCAGCTGTTATTTTTTGAGTTGTTGATAATTGCCATTCTGACTGGAGTTAGGTGGTATCTCAGTGTGGTTTTGATTTGCATCTCCCTGATGATTAGTGAGGTTGAGCATTTCTTCATGTGTTTGTTGGCTGCTCGAATGTCTTCTTTTGTGAAGTGTCTGTTCATATCTTTTGCCCATTTTATAATGGAGTTGTTTGTTTTCTTCTTTTCAGTACGTTTCAGTTCCTTGTAGATCCAGGATGTTAAGCCTTTGTCAGACCTAGAGTTGGCAAAGACTTTTTCCCAGTCTGTAGGCTGTCTTCCTGCTCTCTTGATGGTTTCTTTGGCTTTGCAGAAGCTTGTCAGTTTAATAAGGTCCCATTTGTCTATCTTCTCTCTTAAGTCCTGTGGGTTTCGGGTTTTGTACAGGAATTGGATGCCAGTTCCGATTTCCATGAGAGTATTTCCTTCCTTTTCTAAGGTTCTTATGGTTTGAGGTTTTACATTTAGGTCTCTGATCCATTTGGAGTTAACCTTTGTGCATGGGGATAGATAAGGGTCCTGTTTCAATCTTCTGCATGTGGTCAACCAGTTTTCCCAGCACCATTTACTGAATAGGTTCTCTTCTCCCCACTGGTAGGTGGTGGGGGCTTTGTCAAAGATGAGTTGGTTGAGAAATTGAGGTTTTGCTTCTGGAATCTCAATTCTGTTCCATTGATCTATATGCCTGTTCCTGTACCAATACCAAGCTGTTTGATGATTGTAGCTTTATAGTAAAGTTTGAAATC